TTCCATCATCTCCCCTCTCTCCACCCTCTCTTAAACTCCCTCTCCCTCCTCTCTCTTGTGTTATGTCACATTAAAGAGACATGCACGCTGCAAAGAGAAAAATATGACTCAATGAAGAAAATTACTTGAGAGACTTGTGGATTCATCGTTGATTTCAGATCAGTGTGAATCTACTCTGCTGATGTTCAGGTGTATGTAGTGTCTCTACTTTAAAGAGTCCTCTCCTGCTGATGTTCAGGTGTATATCAGTATGTAGTGTCTCTACTTTAAAGAGTCCTCTCCTGCTGATGTTCAGGTGTATATCAGTATGTAGTGTCTCTACTTTAAAGAGTCCTCTCCTGCTGATGATCAGGTGTATATCAGTATGTAGTGTCTCTACTTTAAAGAGTCCTCTCCTGCTGATGTTCAGGTGTATATCAGTATGTAGTGTCTCTACTTTAAAGAGTCCTCTCCTGCTGATGTTCAGGTGTATATCAGTATGTAGTGTCTCTACTTTAAAGAGTCTACACACTGATATACACCTGAACATCAGCAGGAGAGGACTCTTTAAAGTAGAGACACACACACACACACACACACACACACACACACACACACACACACACACACACACACACACACACACACACACACACACACACACACACAGTTTTTTTACAGTGTGAGTGAAGAGAACATACAGATTTTATTGTAGTCTTCATGTACATGTTTTACTATATAAATCTGAGTACTTTGGAGTTTTATCAAGTACACAATACTTCATTGATCTTTATGATAGTGTCATAAAATTCTCCACAGCTCAGACAGCAACACATCCGCTGGGAAAACTGCGTAAAATCTTTAACTGGATACAGACAGCAGGGAAACACTTAATCCAGTCGAAAAATTGGGATTTAAACTGATAGATTCAAGATTCAATAAGTAAGAGAAGGAAGTAAAAGTACGCCCTCGTGAAAATACTCAAAGAAACACAGCGCTGCTTTCTCTCTCTGTTGTAAAAATCAAACTCTCAAAGCTGAGCACAAACAGCTTCACGGTTTAATGACTCAAACCAATCTTAAAAACACCATTTATTCTGAATTCTTGTGTGTTTAAGCAAAAGCTCAGAGGAATACTACGATGGATAACAATCATGATTAATGTCGATGTCCAAATGGGGCGCTAAACATATGAATTAGGCATAAAGTGTTTGAATGGGTGACGCTAAAAAGCATTACAAATACATTAACTGGAGACAGAAACATCGTCCTTAATCTGTTTTAGTCAGTGGATTGGATTTGTACTAATAAGGGCCCAAAGAAAGCCCCTTTCACACCAACGCGTTTTCAGCTCCGGCTCGGAGCTGGAGCCTGAAAAGTACCGTTTTTTCCTGTTCACACCGCAGCGGCGCCGCCTCTTAGCTCCGGAATCCGGTTCGTTTCCAGCTCCAAAGAATTGTCGGTCTAGAAGCAAGACTTCGGAGCTAAGAGGCGGCGTCGCTTACGTCTCTCTTACGTCGAGGCGTGCAGGAAACTAAACCCACCTCCCCTGAACATGGGTCGACTGAAGAGTCTCGTCATGCCTGCCTACAAGAAGTAGCGCTGAGCAAAGTGACTAGAAGGCAACCACACACTTATAAAAAAAAACACACTTTATAAAGTCAGGCAACACTAACCAGGCTTCGTGTGATTCTGTTTATTTGTACCTTACTTTGACCATCCGTTCGCTGTTATTGATCATTGTGGAGAGCAGGCAGACGTTTTGTTTGTTATTATAGCAGCTATCGGATGGAATCAATACATGGGCTGCACAGGTTGTCATGTCCGACTATCACAAGTAGAATCATAATGAAAAATACGCCGGTAAAATGTGCCTGTAGAAAACGGCTTAGCAAGTAGTCAGTTTAGCTTCGGTTGCTATGCTAACATCACCCATGTTATACCAGAGAAACTTTCATAACAGCGTTGTGATGCCAAACAGCGTCAATTCAGACTGACACACATTCACTTAAGGGGAACTGGGGATATGTATCAGCTGCTTGTGTGACAGTCAGACAGTGAATACTTTAGAGCCGTGTGAGCTAACCCGGAGCTAACGGGAGAATAAACTCCCGTGGAAGAGCAGCAGCACTGCAGCGGTCGCTAAATGCCGCTGAAACACATTAATAAACAATGAACCACGACACTCTGGAGAAAAGTATAAGGTTGGAGAAGTCGTTATTTAATTTAAAGTGGACCTATCATGCTATATTTGAATAATATAGTGTAGGACCATACCTATATAAGGCATATTTATACTTTTTTTTTTTCAAAATACCAAACAGATCATGCATTTTAGCCATGCCTCATTTTGCTCAATTTGACATTCTTTGGCTCTGCTCTGCAAGGGCAGATTCTGTGAGAACAGCACCATCTACAGGCCTGGCATATGTACTACAGCGTCTCCAGCGCTTTCGAACGGCAATGGCCGTGGCTGTCTCCTCCTGATTGGTGGAGTTGGCCCAATAGCCGTAGCGCCACCGTCCTGACGTCAGGACAGTGTTCAAATCTGGATCAGTTTTTATCAGATCCGTTGCAGCCCCTTTTTTAGAGATTTGGGTATGGAGGAAAATAGAGAGGGTTGTGTTTTCTGACACTTGGTGAGTTCCCTGGAACACCGGGGACACATATTCATGTATAAAAGACGTACAAAAGTGCATTTTGCATGATAGGTCCCCTTTAATTTGGCTTCGTATGATTAAAAGCAACACGATCATCGACCCGACGCAGTCCCCCGTTGTTGTTGTTGTTGTTGTAGTGAGCGCCGTAACGCCGTTGGGGAGCAAATCAGTGACTTAAACGGTGACGTCATGACGCAGCAGCTGCAGCACCAGTCGGGCTCTGGGCGGTGTGAACAAACCGGAGCTGAACCATAAAAGCTCTAGCACGGAGCTAGAATGGGAAAAGCGCCGGTGTGAAAGCCGCATGAGAGTGTTGTTTGGAGACTCACCTTCAGGGGGGGAGGGTCCGCAGGTTGAAGCAGCAGTGTTGTAGTTTCCACTTTTCTCTCCTGTAGCTGAACTCAGAGGAAGTTGTTAGTTTGGTCTGAAGGTGAATCTGATCGTCTGTTTTTCAGTCCGTCTGTCTCTCTGCAGTGAGTCAGGTGAGCTCTCTCAGACCTCCTCTGCTGAACTCTGTTTCCTCTCATGTAACTCAGGGAGTGTCCAAAGTGCTGATTTATTGCTGGTATAAAGGTTGTTGTGGAGTTAAATATGAATCTAGACATACTTGGAGAGCAGTTGGCTAGTATAAAGGTCTTCCAATCCATCAATGTAAATATATGAATCCAAATATCTCTCTGAGCATGTCCACACCGAGTCAGAAATGTTGTATTGGTTCATGTTTTAGCTTTTTTTCACAGCTGGTTTCCAGGAGGTAGCAGCTCCAGTAGAGGGCCCAACACATCCCTCTCCCAGCCCACATTAAACAGCTCTGACTGGGGGATTTCAAGGCGCTCCAATGGCCAGCGTGGAGATATAA